TCTTCAAAGGTTCACACCCTAATCCCTGAAACCTGTGACTGTGTTCACTTACACGGTAAAAATAACTCTGCTGATGCAAGTAAGGTTAAGGTCCTTGAGGAGGGGAGAGTGTCCTGGATTATCCAGGTGGGCTCAGTCTAATCATGAGTCCTTAAAAGCTGAAAATATTTTCTGGTTGCAGTCAGAGAGATATAAGACAGGAAGGAGGAGAGAGTCAAATGTGAGAGGAACTGGATCCACCATTGCTAGCTTTGATGATGGTGGAAGGGGCCGCGAGCCCAGGAATGTGGGTAACTTCTATAAACCAGGAGCAGCCTGCAGCTGACAGCTGGCAAGGAAGTGGAAACCTCAGTCCTCTAACTGTAAGGAACAGAATCCTACCAACAACCTAAATGAGAGAGGAAAATGGTCCTCCCTTGAGCCTCAAGGAAGGAATGCAGCCCTGCCGATATCTTTTTTTAATTGAAAAACAATCGATTATATATATTTGTGGGGTTCAGTTGAATATCAACACCTATACAATGTGTGATGATCAAATCAGGATAATTAGCATGTTCATCATTACAAAACATAATCNTGTGTGTGTGTGTGTGTGTGTGTGTGTGTGTGTGTGTGTGTGTGTTGGGGTGAGGGGTGATTGGGGGACAACCACCCAGCAGAGGCAGCTCCCATCAGCTGTAAGGGTAATTTCCAGAGAAGGGAGAAGCTGTGAGCTGTTGGCTCATTACCTCTGTACTCCTTCCAAACCTTCCCAACCACAGCAAACATGTAGCCATTTCTTCTAATCTTTGTCCTAGGTTGATGAGCACACCAGACAGGTAAAGGAATCTGAGTGGGACACCGAATGAATCCAGCACTCAGAGGTTCAGACGTAGGGTTCACCTTCACAAGACAGCATGACTGTTATCAGAGAAGACTATAAAAAGCACCTAGTGCAGTAGCTGTCCCTCTCTCTCCCTTCAGGCACTACAGGCAGTTCTTGACACACCAGCCCAATCAGAAAACCCACCTGCTGTATACTCCTGGGTAAGCAAGAAGGTGAAGTCTTTCACTGAAACCCAGTCGTGCCTTACACGTATTCTGCACCCCAGTCCCCAACCACCGGAGGAATCCAAACTCTACCTGGCTTTGTGCTCACCTGTGCTCTGGCTGTTGTCATTGCCCTACAGAATTGGTTGTTTTCCTGTCTAGAATTCAGCCCTTTCGATAGTCCTGGGGCAGTGCT